CACCAGGAAGTGAATTGGTCAGAACCTTGCTCTCAGGCTTCCAGCCTCCAGAACTGTGAGAAATCACGCTGTCTGAGCCACCCTGTGTGTGGTATTCTGTTAGGGCAGCCTCAGCTAACGCACCATAATTACTTAAGGGGAAGCGAGTGAACCAACAGGGTGCTCTCTGACCCTAAAAAGGTGTCGAGACAAACTAGGGAAAGGGCCTGAACAGGGAAGAAGGTGACAGAATTAGGTGTGCTGTCCCAGAAGACCCAAGATACAGCAGGAGGGGCCCAGGGAGACAAGAGACCTGGCCTGATGCCACCAGGCTGGAAGGGAGTCACCGACCGTGGGTGGCGACACCAGGCCAAAGGTGCTCACTGATCCTCAGACCCTCGGCATGGGTATGTGGGGGACTGCTGCTCATATTAGAGCCTCCCTGGGCCCTCAGGCCCTGGGCATGTGGGGGCGGAGGGCTGGGCAGCAGGCAGGGAGGGCGCCTCCGTGGCCTGGTTACTTCCACAAGGACAGTGGCAATGACAAGCAGCCGGTCCTGGGCTCCCTGACAGCCTTTGGCTGAAGCCCAGCAGCCGCAGAGGAGCTGACGCTGGGCAAAGGAGCCTCAGCAGAAAATGCGGATGCGCTGATTTCTGCGGCTTGGGGTGACGGGGGAGCTGGATCTAAATGGGTACTGATGAGACTCGGGCCCAGGCTGTGGGCTGCGAGTGTGCTGCCCAAATCCTGATCGCCTAGAACAGTGACAGGGGGACTTCCACTCTCACAGAAGAAACAATGAAGGCAAAACCTCGCCGACTTGGCACCACGGCCCGCATCTCGCTGTGACCTCCTCACGATCCCCCGGGGGCCTGCCTCAGCCCCGTGTGTGTCTCAGGACACTGAGGCCAAGACAGAGGTCGTGGCTCAAGGTCACTGGAGGGTCTGCAGGCTGAGCCCACCAGGCCCCCTGCGGCCCTGCCCAGAGCTCTCCCCATGGGTCGTGGGGAGGCAGCAGGGGCTGCCAGCGAGCAGAGGCCTTGTTCTAATCTTGGCCCCCTACCACACACGCCTGAATGACTGGAGTCAAGGCTCTGCTGTGTAGACAGCGAGCGCCAGACACTGAGCCCATCACTCTGCTGAGTGTTCAGCTCCAGGTCGGCCCCTGGATCTTCACGGCCACCGTGTCCCCATTCTACAGACGAGCCAACTGAGGCTCTGAGAATGAAGACCCCTGCTCGAGGCCACACCGCCGGCACCAGGATCCATTTCTGTGCGACTCCAGGGCAGGTCACACTGGGTCTGACCTCAACCCGCCCCGCCCATCCAATCCATCACCCAGTCCTCCTGATTCAGCCTCCTAAATCTCTCTAGAATCTGCTCCCCTACTTCTACCTGCCCCCAAGTTCAAGTCACACTGCCTCTAGCTGCAATTCCTCCCACACCTTGCACGGGGCCCTCCGGCACAGGCAGGCCTGTCTGACTCCGGCTAACGCTCCCGAGTCTGCAGTGACCTAAGGTTAGGCTCAAGGGTCCAGCTGCTTACTGCAGCCCCCAGATACCCATTCCCAAGACCCCAGCTGACCTCAGCACCCCCGGGCCCACCAGACACACACATGTCCATCCTCGCAATGCGGGAAGCACCCCCACCTGCCACTCCCAGGCAGTCCCCACGACCCGACGGCTTTCCCTCCAAGCCACGCTCAGATCGCACCGTGCCCACCTGCCTCAGCCTCCTGCCATCTCTTGCCAGGATTGTCCCAAGGGGTTCTGTCTCTGGCCTGGCTGTTTCAGCTCCTCTCCCAGTTGCCTCCCCAGCGCCTCTGCCTCGGGCCCCTCAGGTTTAGTGAGTCCCTCCCCAGACCGCGCCTCTTCTGGAGTCCCCCTTACTGGTGACGATGCCTCCTGCCACTCAATTTCCAAACGCGCATTACCTGTTGCTCACTCTCGTGTGGTCCAGAAGCCTCAGAACATGGACCACTCGAGCTGGGAGGACCCAAAAGGTCATCTCGTGATTCTCTCTGGCTCCCCCGACCCCCACCATTTCCTCCTCTTCCCCAGACGCCCCTCGTCACTCACTGCTGATCGAGCCAGCCTGGGCTCTGGACCTTTTGGCTTCCCCGGCCCTCCCACTCCAGCCACACGGCTCTTTCCTGAAGACACAGCACCGCAGGGGCCCTCTCCACGTCACCTGTGGCCAAGTGTTTCCTGCCGCCTCCAGGAAAGGCCCCAAACTCCTCACCTCACTCTGGGCCCTCCTCAACCCGGCCGGGATGTTGACCTAGAAGGGTCTCATCCCTCCTCAGGCCCCTGCACAGCCTTCCCGAGTCCTAGCCCCAGGCCTTCATTTCTGCTGTTTCCTGCTGGCTCATGAGCCGATGCCGTGGGCACTAACGTGGGCCAAGCTTTGCGCTGGGTGGTGGGAATACAGTGGGGAGAGAGATGATCCAGTCCCTGTCCTCACAGAGCTCAGGAGGTGAGCTATTTAATCTGCTTTCAAGATTCTGTGCAAGACGCCACGCGGGGCGTGTGGATGTGTACAAGTAACATCCTACAGGCTGAGTATTGGATCGAGTGATGTGACAGTAACATAACAGCCAATAAGGACCCAGTATGCACTCTTTGTCAGGCCTATGCTAATAAGCACAACAATCATAATGACCGCTAGCAATTATAGACCATTCCACATTCCAGGGCCATTATTCATGCTTTAATGCATTAGGTTGGAGTCCTCACAACTACCCTATGAAGTCAGTCTTATTGTCATAATACTAATTTTACAAGTGAAAAGATTTGAGGGCCGGCCCCGTGGCTTAGCGGTTAAGTGCGTGCGCTCCGCTGCCGGCGGCCTGGGTTCGGATCCCGGGTGCGCACCGAGGCACCACTCCTCCAGCCATGCTGAGGCCGCGTCCCACATACAGCAACTAGAAGGATGTGCAGCTATGACAGACAACTATGTACTGGGGCTTTGGGGGAAAAATAAATAAATAAAATCTTTAAAAAAAAAAAAAAAACTTAAAAAAAAAAAAAAAAAAGAAAAGATTTGAGGCTCAGAGATGTTAAGTAACCTACTCAAGGTCACACAGCGGGGACCTGGCAGAGCCGGACTGGGACTCAGGCTGTCTAGGTGTGGCTGAGTTATGTGAGGCAGCAGCAGCCTGAGAGGGGTCTGGGGTCTCTGGTGAGAGAGGCTGAGCGGACAATGAAACCGTACATGAGAGCCAGAGCAGCACTGCCCAACAGAACTTTCTGCAACGATGGAAACGTTTCATACCTGTGCTGCCTGAGACGGCAGCCGCTAGCCACACGTGGCTACTGAACACTCAAAGTGTGCCCCGCATGCCTGAGAAACCAATCTTTAATGTTACTTAATTCTAATTAATTTAAACACAAATAGCCACATGTAGGTAGTGGCGGCCACACTGGACAGCTCTAGACCAGGGTTCTGCGAAATACGGCCCAACGGCCAAATCCTCCTGTTTTTGTAAATAAAGTTTTATTGGCACACAGCCACATCTATTTGTTTATATATTATCCACGGCTGCTAGCGAGTTACAAGGCAGAGCCGACAGAGACCCTATGGCCTGTAAAACCTAAAATATTTACCATCTGGCCTTTTCAGAAAAAGTTTGCCTCTCAACTGCTGCTCTAGACTGTGGAGGAAGCACAGAACAGAGCAAGGAACAGCCTCCTCCCTCGGGGCAGAATTAATTCACCAACTCTGCCAGTTGGTTCTGCGTTGCTACTTTCCAACCTCCCTCCCTACTCACCCACTTATGTGCCCCAGGACCCTGCTCGATGATGTTACCATCAACCACAGCCCCGCTGACCGAGGGCCCACTGTGCGCCACGCAGTGACTGTCTCATCTCACTGAATTTTCCCAGCGGCCTTCACAGATAGGTATGTGATGACGCCCACTTTACAGAGGTGAAAACTGAGTCTTAAAGAGGTGACTCGGGTCCCCCAAGGTCAAGGGGCTTACAGTGGCATAGCAACCACCTGAATCCAGGTCTGCTAGGTCCTCCCCACCTACCCTGGCTCAGCCTCCAACACCAGATGGAAAGAAAAAGGAGAGGCGGCCGTGTGGGCCAGGCTCCTGTCAAGTTCAGGGACCCAGGCCCCCCCTGACAGCTGAGCCAGCTGGGGTGGAAGGTCTGACGTGGTTTCCACAAGGCCGGCTCTGGCTCCCAGGGAGAGGACCCCACCCCGAGCCCCCGCCGCCAGCCCCGCTCACCGTTAATCAGCTCCAGGGCCTCCTCCTTGGTCCGGGTAATCTTCTCCTGCCGCCAGGACGAGGGCCGCCGTGACTGGCTGTGCTTGACCAGCAGATGTGAGCAGCGGACCCTGGTGGGCTCCCCCTGGCCATTTTTGCCGCCGCTGCTGCTGTTGCCGCTCGGTCGCTCCCACTGGCTGGCGTTGGTGATGTGGTTGAAGTAGTACACCCGGCCTGTAGGGAGGGGGGGCCGGGAATTCAGCGCCGACGTGCTCACAGGACACCACCCTGGGCCAGCATACGGGACCGGCCGATGAGATGCTTTCATTCAGCAAATCCACTGTGTCCACCACCTGCCACAGGCCCTTAGGAAGCTAACATTCTAGGTGGGGACAAACAGGTACCAGACAGCAAATAAGACAGTAACTTCAGCCATAACTTCAAGAAGGAAAATAACCCAGGGTGAGGAAGAGAGGAAGCCTCGGGGACAGGGAGTAGTGCAAAGCACGCAGGCAGCCAGACACCTGTTCACATCTGGCTCTGCCATTTCCTCAAGGTATGACCTACCTGGCCCGGCCTCAGGTTTTCTCACCTGTAAGATGGAGATAACAGTATCTGCCTGGAAGGCTGAATAAGTCCACATTTGGAACTGATGCTCAGGATAAAACTCATGCTCAGGAGAGCACCTGGCACTAAGAGTGTGCCAGCTGTTATTTTCTTCATTTTAGAGACGACAAAACTGAGGCTTCACCTTGCGCATCTTTGCTTACGTTTCCTGAGTGTTTACTCTGCTCCAGGCACAAATGCGGGGAGGCAGGAACTGTACCCACGTGTGTCAGACACAAAAGCTCTGCTCTTGTCGCCCACCCAGTATGCTGTGATGCAGAACCAGAGGCCGGCATGACTAGGGGCCAGACGTTACCTAGGACTGAGGAACATGAAGGAGTGAAGGCTGCAAATAAGAAGCTAGAAGTAGGACTCAGCAGAGATGGGGTATCATTCCAGGGGCCCAGAGTTTCCCTGGGTGACATGGAAGACTTGTGCCCAGCACCCTGAAGGGCTGATGTCACCCCTAAGGAAGACTGTCAGGGTTGAGCCAGGCACAAGTGGCAGGAGTGGGGGCCCGGAATTGGGCAGAGCATCAAGTTTGTACTGCAGGTCACAGCCGCAGGCCAGGGCCGGAGCAGGGTGAGAGCTGAGCCACTGCCTGCCTCTAAAACCTTGGCAACAGGCTCCATCTCCCTGAACCTCAGTTTTCTCATCTGAAAAGTAGGAGTGAGGCGAGAGAATAAGGACATCAAACTTCATGGGGTTAACGTGGAATCGATGATGATGTATGCAAAGTGCTCGCCGCAGTGCCTGGTGGTCAATAATCAGGAATTATAACTGCCACTGCGGTTACTACGGGCTATGGAGCCACTGGAGAGAGATGCAGGGCCTGCTCCTCAATAGTCTGCAGTGACAAGGGCAGGGTTCTAACTCAGCCCCCACCCCTGAAATGAACGACCTTGGGCGACTTCCTTAAGTTTTCTGGCCTCAGTCTTCTGATCTGCAAAATGGGAGGAAGAACGACCTCCCCTCCCTGCCCGCCCCGAGTTATGGCCGTGCAGAGACAGAACACACTTAAAAAGCTTGGCACAATGCCTGGCGCTGAGACAAACGTGCCCTATTATTGACATGAATACTGTGGATGAGCCTTAACCCGGGCCCCGAGCACAGGCGCCATCCTCAGAGAGAACACCACCGGCCGCATGTCGCAGACTCAGTATTAGATGCGCACGGCAGGCGTGTTAGCAAAAGTAGGTTGCGGATCCCAGGCTGGGCAACACCCTGGGGCCACGCCCTGAGCATGGGGGTGGGGTGACCTCCCCCGGGGTGGCCCCCGGGCCCCGCGGGGTGCAGAGACGGTCCCCCGGGACGGCAGGTGCATTCGGCCGAAAGGTGTCAGCCGGCCCGGTAGGGCCACGGCCACCGCCCGGGCGGTGCAGCCGGATCACCGGCCCCTCACCCCCCGGCAGCGCGCTGGGCCTCTCCGGCCCCGCCCCTTGCCTCAGTTTCCTCCGGCTTCCCCGCTCCTCCAGCTCGCAGCCCCACGGGGCCGACTGGGCCGTTACCCGGGGACGACGCAGAGGAGCCAAGACCCCACGGCAACAGGGCGGCGGCGCGGCGCCCGAGGGGCGAGCTCGAGCTCTACTTCCGCGGGCCCGCGCGGCCCCGCCCCAGCCCCGACCCCGCGGCACCTGAGCTGCGGCTCATGCGCTTCTCCCAGCCGGGCGGCAGCTTCTCCTCGTCCGCCATCTTCCCTCCTGCCGCAGCGCCCGCTCTGCCGCCGCCGCGCCGCCTCTGCCGCCCGCGCCCGCCCGCCGCCGCCGCCGATTGGCTCGGCGCCCCGCGCACGGGGGCCTGGCCACGACGCTCATTGGGTACTCTAACTGTCCGGACTGGCTCCCTGGCTTCCTATTGGGCAGACGCCAGAGTGGGCGGATCCTCTCCACTGTTTACCCGGGTCCCGCCCCCGGTCGGCCTCACCCCGGTCCCGCCCCCTCCCTCCCCTCGGCCCCTAAGTGGTGGAGAAGGGACGCGAGCCCGCCTTCTCAATGCCCTTTGGAGAGCTTCAAAGAACTCCCGGCCCCTCCTTTGCGCCCTTCTCCGCAGGGCCCACCCGATTGGCTACTGCAGCAGCAATTCCCGCCTTCCTCAGCCGTTCCCGGAGCCCCGCAAGCCCCCCATGCGGAAGCGTCTGGCTGGTGCGGAGGGAACGGCAGCCGACGAGGTACTTGGGGAGGTGGCGGTGCTCCTTTGCTGTTGCCACAGCAGCGCAGTTGCCTTGGTGATGAGCAGCTAAGAACCCAGAAGCCTAAATTTGTCTCCTCCATCCTCCCTCTTCCCACCTGTTTCCTCCAGACGTCCAAAGCTAACCTACGCCCTTTTATTTTTTTTTGCAAGGCTAACCTTTTCCCTATGCCACTGACCCAAACACCTTTCATTTCCTTTGGAACCTACTTTGTGTCACTTATTCTTTCTCAATCTAGCTCCTGCCTTTGCCCTTGATGACTGGTGAGTGTTGACCTTGCCACTCAGATGGGGACAGGGGAGCAGGCGCGGGTGGGAGGAGGATGAGCTCAGTTTTAGTCAATTTAAAATTGAGTCTGTGGCGTTCATGGGACACTGAGGAGGTGACTGGGAACGTGGGGCTGGAGATAGACATGGGAGTCAAAAACACCAACAGGGAAGAGTTCAATGACACTTCGTCTATAGCATGGCCCCTTATGTGACCATTAAATCGAATGAGGCGCAGTGACATGAAACACAGGGAAACATCCACAACAAATTATAGGGGCAGGATGTGGTAGAAGGTGAGGAGCACACAGGAGCCAGACTGCTTGGGTTCAAAGCCTGGCTCTACCATTTGCTACGACCTTGAACTTATTACTTAACCTCTGTACTTCAGCTTTCTCATCTGCAAAATGAGGATAAGAAATAACACATATCTCATACATAGCTTTTTTTTTTTTTTTTTTTTTTTGGGGAAAAGAGCAGCCCTGAGCTAACATCCATGCTAATCCTCCTCTTTTTGCTGGGGAAGACCGGCCCTGAGCTAACATCTATTGCCAATCCTCCTCCTTTTTTTCCCTTTTTCTTCCCAAAGCCCCAGTAGATAGTTGTATGTCACAGCTGCACATCCTTCTAGTTGCTGTATGTGGGACGCGGCCTCAGCGTGGCCGGAGAAGCCGTGTGTCGGTGCGCGCCCGGGATCCGAACCCGGGCCGCCAGTAGCGGAGTTCTCGCACTTAACCGCTAAGCCACGGGGCCGGCCCCTCATACATAGCTTTGATGGGAAGATTAAATGAATTAATCTATATAAAGCACTTAAATAGTGCCTGGTGGATAGCAAAGATAATGTATTTGCTGGGTGAAAAAACAGTAAGTCATAGTACAGCATAGCAATTATAGTATATATGAAAGCATAACATAACCAAAAAAATCAACGAATAAAATTGATTTAAAAGAATGCCATCATTTATAGAAAGATATCAAAGCATAAAAAGCATTAAAAAGCAAGCTGCTGTATGAGCAATATGAACAGTATGAGTATTAAAGTATGTATAATTACCTCAATTGTGTAGAACTACAGGTTTATATTACAGGAAATTTCTGGATTCATCCAAATATGTTAATGACTACCACTGGTGATGCAGGTGAAGAAATGAGGAACTTAAGTTCTAATATAACATTTTGATTTTTTTTACAAGCATGTATTAGCATAATAATCATCATCTCTCTCTCTTTTTTTTATAATTTTATTTATTTATTTTTCCCCCAAAGTCCCAGTAGATAGTTGTATGTCATAGCTGCACCTCCTTCTAGTTGCTGTATGTGGGACGCGGCCTCAGCATGGCCACACAAGCGGTGCGTCGGTGCACGCCCGGGATCCGAACCCCGGCCGCCAGCAGTGGAGCACGCGAGCTTAACCGCTAAGCCATGGGGCCGGCCCAATCATCATCTCTTTATAAAGATAATTTTAGACTTAGGGCAGAGTTGCAAAAGTAGTAGAGAGTTTTCATATACCCTTCACCCAGCCTTCCCTTATATTAGCATCTTACATAATAATAGGGGCCGGCCTGGTTGCTTAGCGGTTAAGTGCTCGCGCTCCGCTGCTGGCGGCTGGGGTTCGGATCCTGGGCACGCACCGACGCACCGCTTGTCAGGCCATGCTGTGATGGTGTCCCACGTAAAGTAGAGGAGGATGGGCATGGATGTTAGCCCAGGGCCAATCTTCCTTGGCAAAAAGAGGAGGATTGGCAACAGATGTTAGCTCGGGGCTGATCTTCCTCACACACACAAAAAAAAACAAAACAAAGTGGGGGAGGGAGATGCTACTCGCATTTAGTGGGAAGAGGCCAAGGATGCTGCTAAACATCCTACAATGCAGTCCCCACAACAAAGAATTATCCAGCCCAGGGCCGGCCCCGTGGCTTGGCGGTTGGGTGCGTGTGCTCCGCTGCTGGCAGCCCGGGTTCGGATCCCGGGCGCGCACCAATGCACCGCTTCTCCGGCCATGCTGAGGCCGCATCCCACATACAGCAACTAGAAGGATGTGCAGCTATGACATACAACTATCTACTGGAGCTTTGGGGAAAAAAATAAATAAATAAAATTATATATTAAAAAAAAAAGAATTATCCAGCCCCAAATGTCCAACAGTGCCAGAGCTGAGAAACCACACCTTAGAATAATTATCAAAACTAAGAAATCAACATTGGTACAATATTATGTGTTAACTAGACTTAAAAGAATTTTTCCCCCCGTTTTTCCACTAATATTCTTTTTATATTTCAGGATCCACACTGTCATGTCTCCTTAGTCTCCTCCAATATGTGACAATTTCCAGGTCTTTCCTTTTCTTTTTTTCTTTCTTTTTTGGTGAGGAAGATTAGCCCTGAGCTAACATCTGTTGCCAATCCTCCTCTTTTGCTGAGGAAGTTTCGCCCTGGGCTAACATCTGTGCCCATCTTCCTCTACTTTATATGTGGGATGCCTGCCACTGCATGGCTTGGTAAGTGGTATGTATGTTCACGCCCGGGATCTGAACCCACAAACCCCAGGCCACCAAACCGGAGCATGTGAACTTAACCACTATGCCACTGGACCGGCCCCTCCAGGTCTTTCCTTGTCTTTCATGACCTTGATACTTTTAAAGAGTAGAATGTCCTTCATTCTGATGTTTTGTCATGATGGGATTGTTGGATGTGTCCTCATGATTAGATTGAGGTTATGCATTATTGGGAAGGATACCCCAGAGACCTGTGCCCTTCTCAGTGCATCGTACCAGGTGATCAATGGTGTTGCAGTGCATCACTGGTTGTATTAAGGTATCTATTGCTACATAACAAATTACCTCACAACTTAGTGGACTAACATTCATTATCTCACAGTTTCTATGGGTCAGGAATCCAGGCAGTTTAGCAGCAGGGGCAGCTGTGGCCTCATCCGAAGGCTTGACTGGGGCAGGATCTGCTTCCAAGCTCGCTCATGTGGCTGCTGGCAGGATTCAGTTGCTAACAGGATGTTGGATGAGGACCACACTTCCTTGCTGGCTATTGGCTGGGGGTCTCTCCAGCTCACAACATGGCAGCTGGCTTTCATCAATGAGCAAGTGCGAAAGCAAGAGAGCAAGCAAGACAGAAGCCACAGTTTCTTTGCAACCTAATCTCACAATTGATATCCTATCACTTTTGCCATGTTCTATTTGTTAGAAGCTAGGTCTAGCCCATGCTCAAGAGGAAGAGATTACACAAGGATGTGAATACCCCGACTGAGGGATAATTAGGAGCCATCTTAGAGGCTGCCTACCACACTTGTGATATTAACTTTGATCACTTGGTTAAGGCAGTATCTACACTTACTATTTTCCCCTTTGCAATGAATAAATATTTTTGAGGAGATACTTTGAGACTATGCAAATACCCTACTGCTGCTTAAACTTTCACCCACCAATTTTAGCATCTGTCAGTGCATCTTGCCTAGAGCAATTTATTATTATGGTGATGCAATGGGGGGTGATTTCTTATTTCCCTCTTCCCTTCTACATTAATTGGAATCCTTTTATAATGAAGAGTTAGCCCTTCTCCCTCATTTATTTATGTGTTATTTATTGATATGAGCATAGGCTCAAGGATATTTATTTTCTTCTTTGGGTTTAGTCCAATACTATTGTTAGTTTGTTGCTCAAGTTGTTCCAAATTTGCCTACTGGGAGCTCTTTCACAGGTTGGCTTCTCTGCCCTTTCAACATGCTTCCACCCTTTTTATTTGAGCACTTCATATTTCATGACACAAGATGCTGCAGGCTCAGCTTGTATTTTTCCTGCCCTAACTCTAGAACTAATCACTTCTCCAAGAAGCCCTAGTTTCTTTCATTGGAGAATGTTATTTAAAAACCACGATCTGGGGGCCGGCCTGGTGGCACAAGTGGTTAAGTGCGTGCGCTCTGCTGCGGCGGCCCAGGGTTCGCCGGTTTGGATCCCGGGTGTGCACTGACGCACCACTCGGCAAGCCACGCTATGGCGGTGTCCCATATAAAGTGGAGGAAGATGGGCACGGATGTTAGCCCAGGGCCAGTCTTCCTCAGCAAAAAAAAAAAAGAGAGAGGAGGATTGGCAGATGTTAGCACAGGGCTGTTAGCACAAAAAAACCACGATCTGGGTGCTGGGTATGCTTATCGCTACTGGAGTGTTACTGCTTCTGGTCCCTCTAAGTGGATAAAGCAAGGTAACATATATATCTGTATTTCTCCATGTCTGTGTACATATACATCAGTTCATAGCAATGCCTCCAATTCTTTTTTTTTTTTTTTTATAATTTTATTTATTTATTTTTTCCCCCAAAGCCCCAGTAGATAGTTGTATGTCATAGTTGCATATCCTTCTAGTTGCTGTATGTGGGACGCGGCCTC